AGTTTACGCGAAGTTAGTCAGTCCAGTTTGGTCCGTCGAAGTGAAGTTATCTCAATCAGTGAAATTGTTAAATAGTAAAAATGTAATCAGTCTAGATTGGCCAGTCGAATTGAAGATACCCTGTCAGTACAGATGAGCAGAGTCTCAGATATGATAGTGAAATCCAATATTTCATGTGTGTGCCATTGTCATGGTTTTTATTGTGTTAAAGTTGTGTATTTGTTTATTGATATTGTTATGTCTGGGTGTTAACGATTTATTGATGTTTACTTCAATGCTCTAAAATTTTAGACAAGTATATTGAACGCTTGTAAATGATTGGTAAACCTGGTATCGTTTCTGCCCTGAGTTGTCAAAATTAGGTAAAGTGGCATACCTGTTATTTGTAGTAAAATTTGTCGAAGGTACTGTTAGCGTACACGCTTTTTATTTTAGCAGATAATTACCCCCACATTATATGTTTAGGCAATTACTATGCACCTGATGTTCTTTGTTTCATTTGTTTTGCTATTGTAATATTAGTTTTTATTTCTTATTCGATAAATCTTCAAAATGTACGTTGATTTGTCATTCAGTTGTTTTATAACAAACATCTTGTTAACCAAAGCAACTTCCTACCTGTTTGTGAACAGCCGCTTGATCCCAAACGGGAGTTTTATTATTGTGGCATACTTAAGGCGTTTCGGACTTTCCCGAATATCTTCTCCGGTATACAGCTCCCTTGCCGTAGAGAGGGTGAATTCGAGCGTTCCGAGAGTATCAAGTACGGCTGGTTTGGGCCATTGCATAAAATCAGGTAGACGAGGTGGATCATTCCCTATTTTTTTTCCGAAGATTGACGTTATGCATATCTGTCCTATATATAACTTTTCCATACAAATATTCAGGATTTTTGAATTTTAGTATTTTATAGTAAAAAGTGGTAGCGTGTAATTTGCATCTGTTATACATACTCAACCATCTCGAGTCTCTCAGCTTATGGGAAATTATTTGTCTCCTCCTAATGTGATACATCATTCGAAGACAACAATTTTGAACTTTTCGGACTCGACATATTATGTCACTACAGTCTATACATGAACCATACACAATGTTACAGTGATTGAAATGGGACAATATCATAGAATCTATGAGTGAACCTACATTTTTGCAGCTGCCTCTGAAAGTCAGCATATCAGCCCCTAAGATTATCTGCATTTAACTGAAAGTTTCACGTTTCTGAGTATCGCTACCAAATAATACAGCAAAAGATTTGTTACAATTCATAAATGAAAGATGATCATTAGAAAGTTTAAGGACGATTTCTAACTCACGATTGATTTTTATATAAGTTTCCCTCATATTTCCAATTACAATGCACAATGAATTTGCGTGTCATCAGCAAACATGTGGTAATTGCAATATTTCAGATGATTATGGAAATTGGAGGTATACAATATACAGGGTGTCCCTGGACTTCCTCTTTTCCTTCAACAGAGACCTTCACCAATGTATAGTCCTGAAAATTTTGTATTTTGACAATATTCAATCATTTTGTTATTAAAAGCCAAATTCTCTTTGTTTGTGGTTTTGTTCTACTGGCGGGAGAGTTATCGAAGTGCTTGAAAAGAAGGTAGTTGGTTGGCGAGAGGTCTGGGCAGTATGGTGGGTGAGGCGGAACTTCGACGCTAAATTCCTTTAAATTTCGGACTGTGATTTGTGAAATGTGCGGACGGGTGTTGTCGTGGAGGAGGAGCGCACCTACAGTAACTGTGGTCTTTTTTGCTGGTTTTTGCCTTTGGGATGTGGCTGGGGGCTAATCGGTGTCCAACCACTGTCCAGAAAGTCTCCTGTTGTCGTAGAGGATTCACTATTCGTCACACGTGATGATAAGATAAAAAAATCGTTTTGGTTGCGCAGCAAAGAACAGACCTCGAAACGTGACAATTTCTGTCGATCTGTCATTTCGTAGTGCAATCACTTTTCGAGATTTTTAACCTTTCCAATGTATTCTAAACCATCAAAAACCGCATGGGAGCTGACGCTCAGTTCATCCGCCATCCCACGCACCGTTTGTGATGGGTCAGTCTCCACCAGGATCCTCAAATTCTCGTCATGAATAACTATAGGTCGACCACTTTGAGGCTCAACATCGAGGCTAAAATCTGCCGAATAAAATTTCGCAAACCAAGGTTGAACAGTGAGTTCATTAACACTATTACTGTCAAATGCCTGGTTAATTATTCAGGCTGTTTCGGCAGTGCTTGGATTCGTAGAGAAAAATTGTCCGAAAATAGCTTGACGACATCATAAGTTGTAAATAGGCAAAAATTTAAAATTTAGAAAAAAATAACAGCATCAATTCATAGAGCACAAAATTCTTTATCGATCAGTATATAGCACGATACAGTATAATAAATATTTATCAAGATAGGAAGCAACGAAAGCACATGATATTAAAACGGAGAAAACCTTCGAAACAACCTAATATTATATTGTTTCTTCCATAATGATGAATGAAAATCTTCATTTGGTTATTAAAAAAATATCATTCAGCGCTAATTTAGCAAAATGTTAATCAGGGGAATTTTAGTAGGTAAGTCAATATTCGCATTTCATTAGTTCGGACTTCCATTGTCTGGCGTTTGTCAGAAGGACAAATGGGTCATATCTGATCATGGAATGGCGGCATGAATGTCCTCAGACATCAGTACGGCCTTCACGGTGAAACCCCTGCCTGGCTGGGTTGTTATGGATGGAGAGATTGATCATCTGTTAACGGAGGACATGAGGGCTTCATTCGACAGAGTGTCTGGGCCTTCTTTATCGGGAGGGGTCGTCTACAGCATAATCTATAGCTTTCCTAATTAACGGATTATCGTGGGTTTTTGCGCATACAAAACTTGCCGATTCCTCGACTAAATGGACTGCTGAATGGAAGGCAGCTGTGAATCTCTGCGGATGGCTTCATTCCGTATGAACCACGGAGCATTCACAATCATCCGTATCAACTTGTTTTGCAAACTCTCCAGAATAGAGATATTAGACGGAGCCGTATGCGTCCTCAAGACGCCTGAAGCAACATGATGACAGACTTGAACATCGTTTTGTAAATCGCAATTTTGTTCTTTGGGCTCAGTTTGGATCGTCTATTGATCAGAGGGTACATATTTTTGATCCGACCCTCGATCTTTACCTTCACGGTTATGATGTGCGGGTTACAGGTGAGCCTACGGTCTATTAGAAGACCGAGGTACTTTACCCGCGCCTGCCAGTTGATCTACCCTCCAGAGATCCTCACTTTCCTGGCTGAAGAAGATATTGTTCTTCCCATGGTTATCGCTTGAGTCTTTTCCGGGTTCACTAGGATCTTCCATTCGAGGTACCAGCGCTCGATGTCGTCCAATGCATGTTGCATGTAGACGATCCCGAGCTCACGGCCCATGGAAGATGAGAGGAGAGCAGTGTCGTTGGCGTATAGAGAAAACTTCACACGCTCGGACCTCGGAAGGTCACTGGTGTAAAGAGAGTACAGCGCAGGAGAGAGCACGGCCATCTGTGGCACTCCAGCAAGGATATCTCTGTTGTCAGACAGATAACCCTCTACTCTAACCTGAAATGTTCTGTCTTTCAGGAAAAACCCAATCCACCATATCAGCCCCCGAGGCAGGTCGAACGCGATCAACTTATGCAGAAGACCTTCGTGCCATACACGGTCTAAAAGAACGACATGAACTTTATGAACTTATTCCTCCGAGACATAGGTCTTTATAGGTCATTCGACTCCTTTCACCTATCCTCTTTTTCCTCTCTCCGCTTCATTGGTTTTTAGCGGCAGCTGACCGTTTGGCGAGAGTTGGTCGTATTCTGCTTGATCAGAGGTTTCCATATGTTGCGTATCTCTACGCTAGCTTGTCTAAATGCGTTGTTGGACAACATATATGTGGTTTCTTTGAATTTCATTGTAAACCAGTGTTCCTCTATGTGGATGATTTCAGCTTGAGCCCACTTGATGTTATGTAGATGAGTACAAACATGCTCTGCTATTCTTGATTTGCTGGTTTTTCCTCGTTGTGTGTGTTTCTTGGGCTCGGCAATGCAAAATTTCAATGGCCTCTTAGTTTCACCGATGTATGATTCTCCGCACTCGCCGGGTATTCGATAAATGCAATTCTTGGAATCGCAGTCCGCGTTTGGTGGCCTGCTTTTTGTAAGGCTGCTATGGATAGTGTTCCCAGATTTGAAGCAGGTTCTGATGTTATAATTGGACCCAATTCATCTTATTCTTTCAGATTCCTCCTAGGTAGGGAAGTACAAGTACTGGTTGTAGCGGTTTCTCTTCCTTGTGAGGCTCTTGCTGTCTTCTAGCTAAAGTATGTTCCACCATCACTTTGGAGTAACCATTTCAATTTCCTTTTCGAGACTAGTTCCTTTTCAAGATCTTCTTCTGTATTATAGAGCCCGAAAGCACGGTCAACTAGAGTCTTCATGATATATCTCTTAGTCGATTGATGGTGGTTGGATTCCTGGTTCAGATACTGTCCCGTGTGAGTGGGTTTTCAGTATATCGATGTTTCTCATTTAGTGTCGGTCCTCTTCACCAAAACGTCTAAGAATGGCGATTCGTTGTGGACTTTCTTCTAAATTGTGAAAGTGATGGAAGGACTTACGTTGTTGATGTGCTTCAGGAAGGTGTTTAGTTCTACATTCCCATTCCCATTTTTTTTATTTTTTGGGTTGTTGCTTGTATTTTATTTCATCGTTATTTCAGTTTCTTCTGCTTGNATTCATCACGAAACATTGTCAATCACCTTCAAACAAACGCACTACGAAACGTTGTCATCCACCTTCAAACAAGCCAATATTTGGTTTATATTTCAATATTTCACATTTCCTGTAGGAAGAATACTCTGTTATTATCATTTATCAATCTCTTCTATCCAAAATGAGTTGATTAATTTCATATATTATACTCATAAATCAAAATTATCTTCATTTGGTATAATTATAATGTGTTTTATATTCTAGGATTCCTGAGTACAGGAGATAAGGAAGTCCCGGGAAATAATGGCTTGAAAGATCAAGTAGAAGCTTTGAAATGGGTCAAAAATAATATCGAATCATTTGGTGGTGATCCTGAGTCTATAACGATATTAGGATATAATGCAGGAGCAATGAGTGTCGTTTTGCATATGGTTTCGCCAATGTCACAAGGTAAGAAAAGAACAATTGTTTTTTGTAGAAATTCGTGGAATCTAAAGTATACATTGCATAACAACAGACCATTTTAGAGTTAATAGATAGCATAACCGGTGGAATACTATAAAGGGTAAGAATGTAGGCTTTCATGGCTGGCGTCAATGTTTTGGTTGGTTTCCGGGTTTTGCCGTGGTCTTCTATGTTTACAATCTACAAATTTACAATCTACAATTTCAACTGCGGCGGTCATCTTCAGTGGCGTGGTCGAACTACTGTTCTTGACGTTTCAACTGAAACTTTCAGTCGATACATCAAGAACGGCAAAACCTGGAAACCAATCAAAACACTATAAGGGGTGAACAAACTTTGATGAACATGCACAAACTGTGAAATAATGTAAGTGGACTGTATTATACTTTTAATGAATTATTGATAAACAATTTAGTCTTATTCTACGAGTGACGCTGTACTGCCTCTCCTCTTGCGAGTCTGGCCTACCATCCCTTCGCGCCCACATGTATGAACATATTACAAAACAACAGTCTATTGATGGACAGGATCATCTCCAACTAATTAAAACCCATTTGACATGAAAATTGTCTATGCCGGCCGCCTTGAAAGGCTGAAGTCTTTCAAAATAAAAGTCAAATAACACTAAACATAGTTCATGGATCTATGGGTAGCTTGGCTATTCGGGTAATAGCTCGCTTAGATGTTCCACTAACCATTTGTACTGTTACCACCCGAATTAAACTATTGTTACCTGGATGTACCTCTATTATCCTTCCTAGAGGCCACTTACTGTTTATGAAATTGTCTATCTCTAACACTAGATCGCCCACCATGATGTTAGCGGAGTTTGTCTTCCATTTTGTTCGTTGCTGGAGAGTTGAGAGATATTCCTTCTGTCATCGTTTCCATATAGTCTATTACATTTTTTGAAGATGCTGCCAACGAGAAAGGGTATTCGTTTGTTTCTGGCATATTGAGTTATTACTGAATGTGTATTAAAAAAATGAAAAGGATGTTTGATTTGCAACAATATTAGGACATAGACTCACTTACTTGTTGTCTACGGTTTCTTTGCTATTCTGCGGCTATGATTAGCTGATTGCTCCCAAACAAGCTTCACTGCATTTGACAGTCGTTCGATACCTCTATTGACCGGGTTCATCGACCGCTGCACTCTGACGATTTCGGTACGATACGATCTTGCAGGTTATGATTAACTAAAATGATCACTGATATCCGCTAGATACTGATTCTCATCCGGCTCGAAGGACCATGAAAACTTTGATGAACATGCACAAACTGTGAAATGATGTAAGTGGACTGTATTATACTTTTAATGGATTATTGATAAACAATTTTGTCTTTTTCTACGAGTGACGCTGTACTGCCTCTCCTCTTGCGAGTATCGCCTTCTATCCCTGCGCGCGCGCCCTTGTATTCCCTTCGTGCCCACATGTATGGACATATTACAAAACAATAGTCTATTGATGGACAGGATCGTCTCCAACTAATTAAAGCCTATTTGACTTGAAAATTGTCCAAGGGGTTTTACAAAAACCGCGACATGGGTTCACAAATACGATAGTTAGAATGTCTTATAAAACCCTTTACAGTACGAAACAAACAGTAAATTATATAAGTCAGTGTAAATGTGGATATTCATCAATTTTCAGCCAGTTTTATCCAGTTCGTTGAGATAAATTGACGTGAGTTTTCAATAGAATTTTTATGAAATAGCAGATTTTCAAACAGATTATTGAACTGCCAAATTATTATAGCAGGGTAGTCCACGATGCAAAATGGGGATTTACTCGAGCGTCATAGAGACATATTAGGTTGCAAAGCTTAGATGATGAGAAGAAAAAAAATGTTATATAATATATACCTTTTCATCGGTGGAGGAAGCGGCTATAGATTTTTAAGTNACTACAAATGACCTTCTTTGACGAGAATTTTTTTCGATCTTGATAACCTGTTCGGTTCAAAAGTTAGGTTAGGTTTTTTACATCTGCATTGTATGCCACGAGCAATAACAACTGATAGTAATTGAAATATTTGGGAAAGTGATAGAGTATGAGTGTTTCGCTTGGTATTTTGAGTTACCAAGTTGATGGAGTTGATGATTTAATCGCCATTCCACTCATTGAAGAATTCACAGAGATCTTTTACTTCTGTGTATTCAGCCTCCGAGATCGCTTGAATTGCATCCGTACAACTTCAATAGAAAAAGAACTAAACCCCATTTCCAAGGTTAAACAAATCCTGTTTTTAGTGATGCTTACTTTTTTGAAATCAGTTCTGAAGTTTTTTGTGAAATTCCATTATAAATCGAAGGCAACAAAATCAATGATCATCACATTTTGAATGAATCATAACCTTTTACTGAGCACTTTTATAATCTGTTTGTAGGTTTGTTCCATAAAGCAGCAGCAATGAGCGGTTCCCCATTGGGAGCCTGGCCTTTACCGACTAACCAGTTAGATTTAGCCAAGAAACAAGCCAAATTTGTCGGATGTCCTGATGATAATGCAGCCAATATCATCAAATGTTTGAGAACTAAAACATACAATGAACTAGGAGAATCCCTACCGAAGTTTAAAGTAAGTTTCAGAGGTTTGAAATTTTATATTCCTTAACTTCTACATGACAGGAGAAAAATGAGAAGATTTAGCTGAAATGACGTATTGTTGTCATATTCAAATGATTATCATTGATTTACTGATGGTTTTGATATCTTTCATAATAACACAACAAAAAAAATATTACTGATCAATAGCTTTACCAACAAAAGGGTTAAAAATCATTCTCAGGATGAAATTGAAACGTGCCTTTTCGGAAGTGATGTCAGATGAGTACCTAAAAGTTGAAGAGCTGCAAAAATCCTGAAATTAATGATTTTTGGCACATCACTTCCCTGCCCAAACATAGACAGAATAGTTACTTTTTTAAGGACAAAACAAAAGCACTAGAGGAGAAACCTTAAGGCGCTCTAAGAGGGGTGCTTGTGCGAAAGTAGCGATTCACTTTGGATTTGAATTGCTGGAGATTAAATTAATTTGGAAAAACGTTTTCTAGAAGTTTATTCCACTTACACACAGTTCTCCAAATGAAGGAGTTCTCAAGCGGTGAAGTTCGAGGTGTACTGAGTTGAACCTCAAAACGATGAGCAGCAACAGTCCTTCGGGTATTTCTGATATGTACCGCTCTTGGCGGAATCGAATGTGCCAAGTCACTTGAACACTTCCCGTGAAAGTATCTATAGAAGAGAGACAAATCTTCAACCTTCCTTCGATGTGATGTTCGCATCTCCAATCAGGGGAATGGCTTTTTTCTGGATGGAATCCAGCAGCTTCAGGGTATGCTTAGGAGCGGAGCTCCAGTTGCTGAGGTGTGTTCTTCAATTTGAAGCTTCAAATTTTCAAAACTAAGACTGATGAACAATTATATTGTAATTGGATATATTGAGAGTGATTGTCGCGATTGATTGGAGAGCGATAGTGAAGAAAACGACTGAAGGTAGTATATGGAAGGTAAGAACTAACGGGACTTTCAGTCAAACTCGTTCAAAAAACAAACTTACTTTATTTCACAAATCGCCAAGCTTTCGTCTCAATATTCAATTTAAAATTGTGAAACTTCGTCATGACGTCAAACATCTGTTCGTTGGTTACGTAAATATTTGAGTTTGAGTGACTCGTTTTTTTACAAGGGAAATGTGACCATAGAGAAAGGTGAAAAATTTTGAAAACCCCGAGTCGACATATCTTCAAATTCGCATGTTTGACTTTGGAAATCAATGACAGATGAATGACATAATTTCAACAAAATCGTTTTTTAACCATTGAAAAATATTTTGCTCAAAGAAACTGACAGAGTTCATCAAACAAATATATTGAAAAACTAAAAAAAACGGTGAAATCAACCTAATTGTCTTGACTTGAAAAAAATATTTTTCCAATCTGCAAAGAACATTTGAGTTTTCATATTTCCTTCATTGTTTTATTCAAAACGAACCCTTCATATTATTTAAAATGAAAAAACCAATCGGATTCCTAATAATTTCTATTGGTTGATGTGATTCCAAAAATTATTTGAAATAATCATAATAGCAAATCATGGAATTTAAACATTTTACTTCAATAATTTTGAAATATGGTTTCAACGAATAATAGTCTTTAAGGCAGGCATCACTTCATGCTAAGTTTTTGAACTTCTCGAGTAACGAAAAAATACTTTTTCAGGCGTATATTTTATACTTGTGATGCACTGTTTGGAACCTTTGGTGTAGTAATGAATATTACTGGAGTTTTTTCCCAACACCGAACCGTTATTTTACCACCTCGACACGTGTTTTGATCACCAAGTGATCACCAGCTTCAAGATGAAGATCAAACTACATTTCATTTAAGACATTTATACAAGAGGGATGAATATTTTATGATATGTGGATGAACCATTCCTAAACAAAAATCTGAAAATTCTTGTCAATCTAGCCACAAATCCCAAGAAAGATCATTAAACATTTTATTATTACAAAAAATCAGTTAACGAATGAGATATATTTTGAAAAATCGTTCATATTGACACAGCTACTTTTCTAAATAGACTCTGGATGTCATTTTGAAAATGTACTCAGATTTTTTGAATTCTTGATTTTTAAGATTACAGAAGATTATATTAACCAAAAATTAACCAAAAAGTAATCTTGCCATAGTCTGAGGCAGAATATTAGGTACTTGATTTAAAATGAGACAAATCCGGTGAAAACAAAATTTTAACTTATTTCAAGAGCAACGATACCTTGAGTTTCAAAACTTCATGTGACAATTACTTCCAGGAATTTGGCGAAGATCCAGCTATGATTTGGTCTCCGGTTATAGAAGGAGATTTTGGACAACCAAGATTTCTAACTGGTCATCCAATTAATCTTATAAGCAACGGACAATTTAGGAAAATACCGTTTATGACGGGTCAAACTTCTCAAGACTTTGGTCAAAGGGCATTTGGTGAGTAGATGAAATATTTTCATTTTTATCATGTTTATTTCTGCGGTTTTTTTTAGATTAACGATATTTCATTTTGAGAAAAAAAGTTTTTTTACAATTTTTGTTCATAATATTCAGTCATTAATTTCATTCTTTGCACTTTTTCAAATTTGTGAAAAGATAAGTATTCAAAAAATATTTTCCTAATATAATGAACATTTCAAAAAATCGAAGTGACCTTTCTGAAGATGTTTCAGCAATACATTACGTTATTATACAATGTGTCCAAGAAAAGCAAAACCACTATGAGAAAATCGGAAACCGTAAGAGATAAAAAGTTGGTTGGCTTAGGAAAAAGTTGCCCATTTTGAAGTTATATTAAAATCACCTTTTAAAATTTGCTAATCAAACGATTATGATGACACATGAATATTCAGTTGTCGTTACCATAAATAAAAAATTAAAATTGATGATGATTTCTCAGAGGCTAAACTTCGTATGTCTTAAAAAGTGACGATGAAATATTTTTTGTTTTCTCGAATCTTCTCGAATAACATCAGGAAAAAATTAAATAGACATTGGCGAATTTCGGTTCTTGTCGAATACTTCCGGAACTGATCGGAATTTCCGAAACCTGATTCTGTATATCTTACTGTTTCAGATTTTCCAGTGCTGACTCTTCTTATTATAGACACAGAAAATAAAAATTGTTCATGTATTTATAATTTTCAGCTGTCATCTACAACGAAACTTTGTCAAAACAAATGAATGCCGAATTTGACAAAATCGCACCAATAGCATTCCTTTACGAAAAGAACACTGAACAATCAAAAACTATCAGTAAGACCCTCAAAACATTCTATTTACAGGATAAGCCTATTGACAAAACCCAAATTCCTGGTCTATCTCAGGTAAATATAACGAAAATAGATACATTTTGAGAAATATTTTTTGTGAAGAAGTAACAGTTTTTGCATTTTTTTTGGGTTTTAACCTTCCACAATCTGATGAATCAATATAAAGAATGAATCGATAGAGAATGTATTGAAGTGCAGAAAAAAGCAGATTGAAAATATCACCCCGAGAAGTTTCTGCGTGAAATATTAACCACTGAATAAGTCAGTATTTAGAAATTTTACTACCAAATTAATATCACTGGAAAACTGAAAATATTAAATTTAGCTTTTCTTCAGATGGTTTCCTTTTTCAAAAAAAATATTGCTTGACAACGGTAACGTCTCGAATAGAAATACGTTATACTACATTTGACAAACTTCAAAATAATAAACTGCATGAATACAAAAAAAATTGTTGTCTAAGTATTTAGTTTGAGATCATTTTTTCGTCTTCAACCTCTCGCCTCAGCAAAGATAATTAAGTACTATCATCTCCACAGAACTGGTTGCAATACCAATACATTTTCAAAAGGTTATTTGCATAAGGAACGTTCAGTTATTGAACAGTTATTGAAATATATAGATTATACAATGGCGACTAACTCAACAACAACACACTTAAGAAACAACTAACATCATTTCATCAGACCATTATTATTATTTTTTTCACCGAAGTATGCGCTGGTCAGGCCCTATCCCCCGAAGCCTCGATATATTCAGGAGGATGCGCCAGCATTATCAACCAATGACCACTCCCCACATCGTGGGGTAAGTGATCATTGTGTCCGAGAATCATGTGCCCTGAGCAAGCGCAGTGAGCCAAGAACTACAGCCTTCTGCATCTGTCCGGCTAAGATTTCTGCCTTAGTGCGGCAGGCCAATATGATTTTAAGAATCGAGAGTAGAGAGAGCATCATTCCACCAAGGACTCCAATAAGCAGAACAATCATATTAACAGTGTGGTCTGGATAGAGTCTGTAAGATTCGAAGAGGAAACCTCGATATTTTATCCGTTTTTCCTCCTCTTTTTAGAAGATATTCGTCTCGCCAGGAGCTGAAAACTCCACGACAAATATCTCTTGCTCTAGCGGTCGAGAAGGACTGCATCGGGCTTATTAGCTTGTATGATCCTGAGGGTGGGGAACGAATAGTTCCAATAAATTCGGCACTGGTCGTTCTCCACAACGGATTCAATAGCTTTCGGAGCGTAGGACAACACCGGTGTCTCGTCAATACCGTAAGAGTGCCGCAGATGGTAATATAGCACTCTAAGGGCCGCGTTATGTCGATGGATATAGGCCGAGACAGCATATGCTGGACATGCTGATAATAAGTGCATTTGAATCTCGGGCGCCTCGTGGCAGACCCTGCACCTTGTGTCAGGAACCTCTATACCTATCACGACACTGCGGTAGACTAAGGTGTTGGAGATATCATCCTGGCAAGCCATGATGAACCCCTCAGTTTCCGACTTCAGCCCACTCGACCTGAGGAAAGCGAAAGTCAGGCGCTTTGATAAGCCAAGGTCTCCAATGTTATTGTAGAAGACCCCATGCATTGGCTTATCCTTGTGTTTCCGCAGAAGTGAGGTGATCTCTGCGGCTTTTATATGAGCGTTTTGCTGAACGGGTTTCAACTCGGTGACAGAGTTGTGGTCACCTCGTTCAGTGTCGAAAACTAAATGGAGTTCATCAGCTGCTCGGGCAGCTGCCCTAAAGAGACATGCACCCTTTCCTGCTTTCTCATGGTCACAGACCATGCAGAGAAGGGGATACGACTTTACAGGCTGTATCCAGTACCATTCTGTCATGTAGACACTCCAAACTCAACAGTCCACGGCGTCCCTGTTGTTGGGGAAAGTACAACCGTAGAACGGACGATTTGGGTTGTAAACTCCTATAGAAATGCATCATTTTTCGGGTCTTTACTCCTGAGTCCACTTCACTACTCCAAACGATTAGAGTAAGATTGGAATGTCAAGCATATTTGTTGTCGCAACTTTGTTCTTCCCCGACAGTTCCGATGACCAGATCTGTCGAAGTTTGTTCTGATACTTGCCGCGGAGAGAGTTCTTCACTGCTGTTACCTCTTGTGAGTGGTGTTGTTCCATCCCGAGGTAAGTATATGTCTCTCCGGCATCCAAATGGTGTAGGATGCTTCCATCTACGAGCTGCAGATCCTCTCCGTAGTGCCCGCATCGTCCTCTTTTGAGATGGACCATCTCATTATTATTATTATCATTATATGTTCTTGATTTGTTTGAAAAATTGAGACGAATTGGATACATATTTGATGTCAGAACGATTTTGGAAACTACCAAAACGTTGACATCTCTTCTCAAACGAACAGAACCCGACAGAACAAATGGGAAAACGAAAGTTCACCTTTTTCCTGTGTGAGAAGAAGACTTCGAAATCCCTATACGTAAGAGATAATTGACATAAAAAAGACAGATAATAGGGTCGGAGATAGCGAAGCAAATTTTTGAATCAACTGGTGATCACGCATTGAAATAGAATGAAACAAAAATTATTATCGAAGAACCTTAAAAAATTCATATTTACTGTTTTGGCTTGTACCAAGTGTGAAATATGAATTTCAACAGAATTTTCGGATAACTGCACGTGTAATATGTGTATTCATGAACTATGGAATATGATATCCGGACATTTTATTTTTTTATTGTTTTTCAAAAAGAACATAACTGTTTCCAATAACTTTTTAGTTAAAGGAAAAACTGAAACCTCCAGCATAAAATAAATCCAAAACAAACACTTTTCCCAATCACCGGAAATGTAATACTGTTCCCGACCCGCGTTTCATCAACCAAGTTAGCCTCTTCAGGAGATGAAATTTACTTCTGAAAAAGTGCTCATTTTGGAATGAATTTTTAGATTTTGAGAAAGATAAAGGGTTGCCTTCTGTAACATTTCGGAAGGTTATCCCCTTCCGAAACGTAACCATCTCAAAAAGTTGAGTATAATAATTTAATTTTTCCAGAATTTATTCAAATTCTGAGTAGACTTTGTAAATGCGACAAGTTACTGGCTAATTGGACTCTTCAGTGGTTTATATTAAGCAGTAACTTTTCTTCGAAGTAAACTTTTCAGATTGCCTTTCATCATACTCTCTAACAGATCCTCTGTATTTCATGTTTTGTATGTGTTCGTATCATAATGTGTGTTCATCAAATGTGATGAAAATTTCAAAAACCAAAGCGAAATAATGTGAGAGCAAGCAGTGTCTTCAGGCCTTGATTAGCGTAGTAACATCCACGATCACCAGATTTCGCATCTTGATTTATTTTTGTGTATGTATTCAAAAAGTGGAAATTATTGATTACAAACATCGTCAAAATTGTTCACGGGTCACATCAAATCACACAATGTGCAATGTTTCGAACAAATACAGGTGATTATCAATGAGAAAGGATATATCCCTTTGGATAAAAATTTCGACGGGACTCTATATTTTTCTAAACCGTTTACGTAATCCCTAGTAATGAATCTGTCTTGTTTTCGTTTGACTACCCTGTATGCTCTTAAAGAGTATATATGGTATTGGGATGTTAATATTTCAGCTATTTTTTTTTTTTTGGTTCATCTTTCGGTTATTATTTTTTTTTTTCAGTTTATTTATTTCTATTGAATAACATTTATTTTTTAGTTGTATTCTGATGCTGTTGTGGGATTTGGAGTTAACAGAGCTGCAAAATTAATATCGCAATATAGTAACCAATCGGTATTCTATTATCGTTTTAGTTATCAGGGACGTTACAGCCACTTCTATAACCCAGAAAGCAACAATACTGTTCCATTCGGTAAGTTAGATTTTATACAGTTGGTACAAGAGTACAAAGAAATGGTCAGTGGTGGATTTTTTTTGAAGTTCCATTTAATTTTTTTAGGTGTGGTTCATCATGATGATTTGATATACTTATTCTATATGCAGAAACTATTTCCACTTTTCAAAGACAATTCACCCCAAGAAATTGAGATGGTGACAAAACTAACAGCGCTCTACTATAACTTTGCCAAAACAGGGTAAGAGATATTTTTTTCACAGTAGGAACACGCATTTATTTTTTCATTCTTTCAAATAATTGATGTGGTCATTAGAGGTCTCTAACTGTTGAAGAAATATTCGACATACTCAAAATTGAAAAATGAACTTGATTTAAACTTGAATTCGAATAAATTTCCCCTAACACTAGCACCACTCGTGGTTATCTTGTAAAAATTTAGAAAAATACGACTATGACGACTATGATGCAGCGATTCCTGTAATTATGAGTTATTATTTATAATAAATACAATGACTTCTTATTTCTACCTCATGATCGACAATGATGATGAAAATAATCCTTGGAAGGCATAGGTTACTCGTATTTCAAATTTTATAACTGAAAGGCCCAAGTGGTCATCTTCAAGAGGGAGATCAAACTAAATATACTTACAGTGTTATCCTTATTTATATCACAAACACCTATTCTAGGTTCTTGTGTCTTAAGTGTCTTACATTGATTTCACAATATTGCCTCATCTACTAGTCTCAAATTAATTTCACAATGTGTCCTCATTCAATAGTCAGGTGAATCTTATAATTAAAATATTATTTTAAAAAGCTATATAGTATACAATTAGGTATTGGTCTACCATCGCTATTCATAATATTATTATGTTTACTTTTTTCTACACTCTCATATGCATCTAGATGCTTGTTGTTGTTAACTTGTCTAACTGATCTTACTGAACTAAAGTCTATGGTTTTGTTGCAAAATATAATGGGCAACTGCTGATTTTTCAGGTCTTTCATATTTTAAGTGTGCTAAGTGTTCCTTATATCTTATTTTGATAGATCTTTTTCTCTGTCCGTAATATTTTGGACAGAGAAAAAGGACTTTGTCGTTTGGATTTCCTGAAAGGCTCTGTAGTGTATGACTTGGTTTGAATGTTGGAAAACAATCAAATGTTAATATGAAATAAAAATTTTTTTTCAAAAGGACGTTAGTTATTAGATGACATCTGAAGGTAACGTGTGCTCTGTCACAATGACAAATACTTTGAACGAATTACTCAAATTATTGAACACATTTTTGTTGGGACAGTAGCCACACATTCCAGAATTATGAGATGCTAGTTGAATTTATTATTAGATTTTTATTTTATTGTGAAAAGTAATTCATGCAAGACAAATTTGTCTAGAGTTTTTTTATTAAAGAAGACAATGGGCAAAAATAAACTTTTTGTCAATGTTTACTGTTTGGAAAAAAAAATTATTTTATTGAAATTTGCATGGGTAGAAACTGAATTATTCACAGAAGTTATCATTTTAGATAAAGACATTTAATATATAAACCACTAATGGCCGTGGACTTTTGAGTTTAGAAATCTACATAATATAATGTTACTGGATGGAGCATGTAAAGTAATCTGGAATTCGCATCTACTTCTCTGCATGGTCCGCGATCATGAGAGAGTAGGAATTGTAGCATTTCTTTTCAAGGCAGCAGCTCTAGTGACTGATGAACATTCAACACTGAACAAGGTGACCAGAACCCAGTCACCGAATTGGAATCCGTTCAATTGCAGAAATCACTTCATCTCTATGACGATGCAAGGGGTCTTCTTCAATAACATTGAGAATTTCGGATTATCAAAGCAGCTGACTTTTGCTTTCCTTAGGTCGAGTGGGTTAAAGTCGAAAACCGAGGGGTTCATCATGGTCTATCAGGATAGTATTTTCAACACCTTAGTCTACCATAGTCGCGTGACGGGTATAGAGGCTCTTGACATCAGGCAATGAAGTGCCTGATACTTTCATGCTGTCGGGATGTACACATAAAAGGTCTCAGCCTATCTCCATTGACATAACGCGACGCTACAAGTGCTATATTACCATTTTCAACTCTTCTACGGTGTTGTCATATGCTCCGAGGGTTATTGAATCTATTATGGAGAATGAGATATGCCGAACTCATTGGAGCTATTGATTTTCACCCTGACGCTGAAACAAGATAATAAGCTTTATGTACTTCTTTGCCACCATCAAAAAGACGATATTCATCGTAGAGTTTTCAACACTGGGTGAGACGAATATTGTTGGAAAAGAAGTATGAAATATCACGATCTCTTTGAATTCCGTACTCTTTCCAGACCACTCAGTTCCTCAGTCGAGGTGGTTGTTCTGATTATTGGAGTCTTTGGTGAAATAATGCCCTCCTTTCCTTCGAATTTCAAGAACATGTCGGCTAGCCGCATTAAGACAGAAATCTTGTCCGGAGAAATGCAGAAGGCTGTTATTCTTGTGTCCGATAAGATGACTTACCTCACGAGTGGTTATTGGTTGCACCCCCCCCCCAAATGCGTCGGGGCTCCGGGAACAGTGCCCAACTAGCTCAACCTTTGGGAAGAAATAATAATTTACTTAATAAATAACAGTTACTATGACATAAAAACCTCCATCCTTCAGGGATCACATAAAATTGGTACATAAATGGTCTTAGGACCAATTCTTTCACATAAAATCACAATTTTTCTATATAAACCACAAAACATGACACATAAACATGGGTTTATGAAAAAAAAACCAGAAGNAAATGCGTCGGGGCTCCGGGAACAGTGCCCAACTAGCTCAACCTTTGGGAAGAAATAATCATTTACAGTTACTATGACATAAAAACCTCCATCCTTCAGGGATCACATAAAATTAGTACATGGACTATTTTATGCTTTTCAGAAACCCCATTCCAATTGCTATAGAAAAGCTTGATAACGTAAAATGGGAACCATTTACCATGAAGGAACAGAAGTTCATGGAAATAGGAAACAAACTTGTGATGCAGGAAAAAATGAATGAGAAACGATTTAACGAGTGGGACAAGTTGTTCCCCATTTCGATGTACCAAAAGAATAAGCATAGTCATTGAAGAGGTATCAGTTTGAAGACTAGTTTCATAGTTTTCTATTAGGTACCTAAGACCATTGGTTTGTTGCGCTTTCTGGCCATATCGAAGGTACTTGACTTTCTTGATGTCGCTGTTGACAATAAAAATGTTGATTCTATATGTATAGTTTGTGTACTTGTCTGAATAAATATTGTTTTATTGAGCTTTTATTTCATTTTGGGAAATGTAATTGTTTATGTTACTAATGTCAGTAAACAACAACTGATAGAATTACAAAAAAGATGAGCAATTTACATATTTACAAAAAAGAGTTTTCAGGGGATATTATTTCACTGTTACGAAATTGAATTCTTACCATGCGGAGGCAAAATAAATATGAACTCTGAATTATCAGTAGGTACATGAATGTTGCGACAAAAATTCGAAAATTTCAAAACAGTGTTGAGTAACAAATTTGTCAGACATTTAACATTACTACAAATGAAAAAAAGGGTTGAAACTCACACAAAATTTAACTTCTAAAGGAATGAAAAGGGGTGAAAAATAATGATCTTGTTATAGTTTGCTTTATTTGAAAGCAAATTTTGAATTGATTTTCTGAACTCGATTAAGTCTCTGAAATTTTTCATGCCGATGAATTATTGTAATGTTTTTACTCTCAAACATTGTTTTGATGGAAGGTTGGCTATGAGAGTCGTAAGTCATTCGTTTGTCAAGTGTTATGGAGTCGTTTTGCAGGCTGTGTTCTCAAGATTTTTTTGGTACAACAGTAGGGGGCTGTGTGGCATGGCGAAGTTGTTAGAAACGCAAGTTTCTGAATGCACAAAATGGAACTTTTGCGAACTGTAGCGGAATCCCGCTACCGTAGCGTAATTTACTCGACGGTAGCGGTGTAGTGGATTTGAACATAAAGTAGCGGATTTTTCTACAAATAATCAATATTGAAAATAATATGAAAGAAGATGAGGCAGTGGACAGCACTGGAAGCTGACAGCTGACAATTGAATTAATTCACAGTCAATACGTTATAGTCTCATTAGCTGAGGCCATTACATGATAGCAGAGAAGATGAATATTTTTATTACTATCATAAACCATAAACCTAACCTCCAATATCTGGGAACTGAAAACTGAAAGTCTCGATTCTCTCGAGTATTATGAATTATATGGAACAAATTACAGTGGAAATAGAAGATAGCTCATCTGATTGTAGCTCGAGCGAAAGAGCTACCGCAGTTGAAATTGACGGGTACCATCTACTGAGTTGCGCGGTTGAAAATTGGCATGATCCTGATTCAGCGTCAGATGTACAAGCGTAGCGAAATATGAAGCAGTGTAGCGGAATTTTGGTTCATGTGTAGCGACTTTACAGTTCATCCAGTTGGCAACATATGTAGATTCAGAAACGTCCGGCGTTCGTTCTGGGTGAGAGTGCGTAATGTTCCGAATTTGACGCCAAAAGTGAATATCCATACTCCACTGAATTTTGGCTTGAACATTATTATTACTGTTTATGGTTTTGAGTTCGAAAAATAATTTTTTATTTTTATCATATAACATATTGAAAGTATGAAGTAACATAAGAATGTATTAGCACACTATGCTTGAATAGTTCTACGTAAAGGATTTTTTCATTTGAGGATGCGAACTCTCATGAAAAACGCTGTTTGAACAGACACTTTTGAGGAAAATGCGTTTGGTCCAGAACAGGAGTCGGCAAGTAGTTTTAGGAAAAATTTCAATGAGGTCCAGAAAAAAAACAACTGATAACAATGAGGTGCTACCTATGTATTATTTAGGTTTCAAATCCAATTCTGAATTATACAACACGAGACCTGAAATCAATGTGAGAAAATACACCGACGGTCTTGAGCCAGTTTGGTTTTAGAGAGGAACAGCAAATTCGAAGTGGGTCTTCTGGTGGGCGTCCGTTAATCTCGAACGATATTTATTTTTCAAAAAATTCATCTTTGAGAAAGATGTTTCACATACGTATGTCGAACCAAACATAGTGTCCAAATTTATAGCTAGTTTCTTGTAATTTTCATATTTTCCGAGATATATTTTATCTAAAATTCTCATTAGGAAACCGTTTCAAACATTTGCAAATACACATCCTCTTGAAAATCGATTTTCTCTATTTGAAGTGATGGCTTTGACAGATTGAACAACTTGGTAGCCACATCTGCCCATTCTGTCGCTACTTAGATCGGTCAGATTCTCAATAACTGAACAGTGTCTTTTAAAGAGTTCTTCTTATATTCANAAAATTAATAAATTTTTGTTTTGCAATATCGTTTTCAAAGATATCCAGCATGCGACGAAAAGCAGACATTCTTTGTATCAGATCACATAATGATTCGACATTTTTCTTTTAACTCTGTGTTGAGGGCATTCAAATATTTCAAAATATCGTTCAGGAAAGCCACAACCAGCATATTGCGCTTGTTTGTTATGAACTCAAAGTGCTTCTGAGTATCTAAGTTTTGCAAGAAGGAGGTTTCTTGTTCTTTAATTAGCCAGACTAGATGGGATACTAATCAAACCATATCAGTTGTGGGTACTTGTAAAACAGGTTAGCTAGGAAACTCAAAATAAAATAAGTACTAAGTTCAATTATATGTGGCTTGAAAATATTTAACTTATTTAATTAAGGTATTGTATGCCTTATCTGCGGTCCGAGGTTCGACCTTTCGCGGTCCGCCTGTTGCTGACCGTTGCTCTAGACTCTAGACTCTAGAACAACGAAAACAAATTTGAAAGTAGTGTGAAAATAAAAAAGCAAAAAAAACAGTGAAGGAAGCAATTTTTGAAAGTTTTTCAGAGTCTGATGTGAAGAATCACTCTAACAAAGAAATTGATGAAGAAGCAATAAGAAGACTAAAAAGAGAACTAAAAAAACACAACTTCCGCTTGAAGTTTTAATTTTACCTATTACATCTGTGACATTTTTTAAATTATGATGTTTGTCGTTTGTTCACGGATTGTTGAGAGGAATATGAAACTGCTAAATACTCGGGAACGGTTGATCCAATTTCCAAAAATGAAAAATTGCGAGATGAGAATCGAAATTGCTATCAAACATGTTATCATACGCCCTCTTCATAAAAAAAATAGTACTTCAGCGATGAGTGATACAACAAATACTATTGTCAGAAAATACTGAAAAAGATATATTTTTACGTTAATTTTGTGCGACTTTGATATTTTGTCTCGTTTAAAAGAACCAAATTAAGTTGGTGGAATGATTATTCAATAAAGGCAAAATTTTATTCAGATAATGATAATGTAGCAAAACAAATTTGAAATAAGGTACTGGAGTATACGAAAAAAACAAATATGATAGGAGTTTATTTCTTCAACAATGTAAACAAGAGAAAACTTGTTGTTCAAAGGGGGTACAATTTATCCCAGAACTGAAAACGATCATCAAATAACCTTTCCTTCATTCTTATCTTTAACAATGTAAACAAGTGAAAACTTTTTGTTCAAAGGGGGTACAATTTATCCCAGAACTGAAAACGATCATCAAATAACCTTTCCTTCATTCTTAGTGTGTTCCCGATATCTAGATATTTCTGAGAATCCATTGTGAAACGATCCCATTGGACGTTATTCAGCTTTTTATCTACTCCTGGGGTGGGGTTGCTGAAAAATATAATTGGTTATAACGATGTTTAGTCACCACCAAGTATAGATATTCTGTAAAATGCATTTGATGGATAATATTACACTAGGGTGGAAAATGAAAAACAAAATGAAAATTATTTTCTTGTTGTTGTTGTAATGTAATTTTTTTCAATACCGGTTTAATGATCACCTTCTTTAATTCAATTGTTGTTACTTACATTGAAATATATTTTATCAATTCTTCGGGGTGTCAATGCAAAATATTCCCTATTTGAGAAAATCATGTTGAATAAGAGGCAAGCTATCTACGTCATGAATAATGAGTTTAAAAAAATAATATTCGTTCTATAATTGCAGGAGATGATGATAACATGTTCTCAATTGAATTTTCAAAGCATTAATTTTTCCTGAATTTCTTTTTCAATGAAACATAATGAAACTTACTTGCCGCTGTAGAATGTAATATGATGTTTTCATGAATATTTCATCCCTGAAATCTGCTTCTCCGAGTTAATTTGTTTCAATAGTTCCTCTATTTTTCGCAAAATGATAGGCAATGTTGATTTATTGTGAAAAAAGCGACGGGTGCTTGATATACAAAAAATATGGCATAAAGCGCCCACGCTTTTTCACAATAATACTAGTATTTTTCGATCGTTATTGTTTTAAGCTTATTTAAAAAAATATTTTTAACTTTTTAGTTCGATGTTGTTTAAAAGCGTGTTTTTTAGTTCTTAAACTTCATTTATTCAAATTTGGAAATACGTGTAAAGTGAGTTCGAATTATATCAAGGAGGTTAGGTACAGCGCCATCTGCCCGCGAATAGATCAAGCAATAATGCCGATAATTCTGTCAAATACAGATCCCAAGTATTCAAACGGGAACAAATATGAAATGAAAAGGAAAGTTACAAACAAACAAACAAACATACATACATACAGGTGAAGCTAAAAAACGTGATAAAATGATAATGAAAATATACTTTTTTTATTCAAATTTGGAAATACGTGTAAAGTGAGTTCGAATTATATCAAGGAGGTTAGGTACAGCGCCATCTGCCCGCGAATAGATCAAGCAATAATGCCGATAATTCTGTCAAATACAGATCCCAAGTATTCAAACGGGAACAAATATGAAATGAAAAGGAAAGTTACAAACAAACAAACAAACAAACAAACATACATACATACAGGTGAAGCTAAAAAACGTGATAAAATGATAATGAAAATATACTTTTTTGTAATAACAATATACTTTTTTCAAATGAAGAAATACATATAAAGTGAGCTCGAATTATATCAAGGAGGTTACGAACAGCGCCATCTGCCCGCGAATAGATCAAACAAACATACATATAGGTGAAGCTAATGAAAGCGTGATAAAATAATAATGATAAAAAAAGGATTGTGCTTTAGACCACACGACTGGAGTAAACCTTCTTCAGCTTCATCTATATGTATGTATATGAATGAATGAATGTGAAAATGAAAAAATACTTGAATAACCGTTGTTTGTAGACTGAAGATTAGTCCCTTGAATTATGTTTTCAATGATATGATCCTTTATTGAAGTTTCCTATTTTGGAATACTGAAATTCGTAAGTCATACTCACCTGGTTCTAGCAAAATTTGCGTGTAGGGTTGTTAATTTCTCCACCATATCTATTTCAGGAAGTGGCGACTCTTCTCCAAATCTGGGAAAGAGTACTTGAATATAGTACATATAAATCAAGTCATCGTGATGAACTACTCCTGGAACAGAACACGAAAAGCAATTAACTTTTTGAACTGATTCAAATATCAGTGTAGACTAAGTCGACCGAAGTGATGATCAAACTATCTTTCTTAAATAAAGCAATGAGCAAGTTTTCTACATTCTAATTCTAATGATTTGTGTTTGTTAGAATTCATCGTACAAGAGTGATAAGACGGTTTTCAGTATAGTGAACGTCAAGTTTTCTTGCTTAATGACAGCAAAAAAATCATCTGCATTGAATTATTGTGAAAAATTTAATATTTCTGACCTATAATAATTCGAAGTGGGGGCTATTCTACAAAAGAGGAAACACGCTTTACAATTAATGTGGTTTTGATGATTTTCTGCTCAGTTATTGCTTACCACCTGGCACCGTATTTGTTCCGGGAAGATAGAAGTGACTGTAGCGTCCTTGGAACGTAAAGCAATAATAGTACACAGGCATCGTGCCATACTTGGAAACTAATTTTGCTGCTCGATTCACTTGTAAACCCATTATTGCATCGGTGTAGAGCTACAAAAAAATTAAAATGAAATACTCCTCACACAAACTAGTCTAATGTACCGGGTCTGATAAATTTACTACTCAGTTGATACCATGTGAAACCTCCCACATGAAAATAATGATTAGACCTCGTGTAATACCACGCTGTCCATTCCATACGAAGAAACTGCCGACGTTCGGTACTTATTTGGTTTTTTCACCATTCGAATTGACTTCGTATATAGTATACTTACAGGATACAGAATAAGATATAGCCGGTGGGAGACCGGGAAGCTTCGCAAACAAGGGTTTGTATTAGACAGAGAAACTATTCGAAAAAAAATGTAAACAAGTAATTGAAGAATGCAATAGAAGGTTCTAAACGGTATGAATGAGGTGCGAAATTAGGGAGAGACACTTATGACTAGCTATGATCATTTCATTTTTATTTTTAATACATTTCCGGACACACTCAAAGGTTGGGTATAGATGCGAGCGCTAGACCATATACAGAATCTATCAATATTTTACGAATAAATCGAAAACAACTCATGGTAGCAGGTTGGTTAGCGCAAATGGATCTTCTTACTCATTTACCCAACCGCTATGTGAACGTTGGTTCGATTCGAACTATAGTATTTTCAATTTTCACTGCGTATCGTCTGGGCCATGCTAGAAATCACACGTTGAAAGGTGAGAGATCGACAATCCCAAACTCGTACACGTTTTGATTCTTGAGAGTTGTCGTTCTTAGGAGTGACAACTGTTTAACGTCAAAAATATTTGACACATTTCAACTTAACAATTATATTATATTCGATTTGAAATGTGCACGAACAAAATGTATAACTTATCTTGTAAGTATAATGACTCATATTATTTTCAAGGGCGAAACACAAGCACTGCAGGTTCATTCCTTAAGGCGCTCTAAAAATGGTTCCTGTGTGAAAGTAGCGATTCACATTGAATTTGAAGCGCTGGAGATAAAATCCATTTGGGAGAACGTTCTCAGGAAGTTTTTTCCTTATGAACGCCGTTCTCCAAATGGAAGTGTTCTTAAACAGTGAAGTTCGAGGTGTACTGAGTTGAACCTCGAAACGATGAGCAGCCACAGTCCGTCGCGTATTTCTGATATGTACCGCTCTTGGTGGAATCAATTGTGCCAAGTCACTTGAACACTTTCTGTGAAAGTATCTATAGAAGAGAGACAAATCACCAACCTTTCTTCGACGTTCCAGACTGTCAAGGTTGCAAGTTATGTTTGGGTCTTCAATCAGGCGAATGGCTTTTTTCTGGATGTAATTCAGCAGCTTCAGGTTATGTTTGGGGACGTATCTCCATACATGAGAACAATACTCCAAAGAAGGTCTGATCTGAGCTTCATAAAGCATCAAAAGTTGCTGAGGTGTGTAGAGTTTTCTGATTCGGAACAGTGTTTCAAGCTTCTGAGAAGCCACAAGCAATTCCAGCCACATGATTGTGCCAAGACATATTGATGTCCATTTTATGCCCCAACAAACTCATCGAAGCAAAAAGAGAAATTACCTGACCTGACATTATTATATCCGTTTCGGAAAGATTTATCTTTTTGGAGAAAACCGATGCCTGGGTTCTTGTGGTACTGAAATGAACCTGGCTACTTTCACCCCAATTCGAAGTTACTTCTAGATTCTCATTAAGATATTGAACCACCTGATGAGACAAGTGTGCTGTCGTAAGCAAAGCAATATATTGGATTCTGGGTTTTATTAAATATGTCGTTGATATACAATGAAAAGAGGGTTGGAGAAAATATGGATCCCTGGGGAACACCATCGTTGATGATAAAAGTATTCGAAAGATATCCATCGACGGTCACTTGCAGGAAACGTTCTTTAAGGAAGCTGAGGAGCCATATACAAAAATGATTCGACAAGCCATAGCATCGAAGTTTAGCCAGCCAATCATCATGCTACACTCGATCAAAGGTCTTAGAAATATCAAGAGCAACATCACTTCATATTTCTATACGGCTACTGAAAATATATTCTTATATGATTCCAAAAAAATATTTATCTAATTCAGCTTTCTACTACATCGGAAGTAGAGTTATACTTTATATAAGTTAGAAGATTTCTGGCGAGGGATTCACATAACTCCACTACTTGCTGTCTGCCAAGGCCATGATGATCCAAACTTCACAGTAGCCTCTCTACTTTTGTTGGGGCCATGAACTGATACTTTTTCAGCTTTTATAAAATAACGGTGGTCTGGCAAGCACGGGTTCTTAAAATCCCATCTCTTTATAAATGCCATAACAATATTCTTCTGGTTTGTGCAGATCTTTTATGGGTTGTTGGTCATATTCTTTTGGACACAGAACACATTACAGGACAATTTTGATAGTCCTGTGATGCATTGCCTTCAAATCGTTCAGAATATAACGAACTGCCTTCATTCCTTTGTTGAAACGTCTGAAACCAAGGTCTCTGTTATACTTCATTCTGTCAGATGCCCACTAATTCAATTGTCTTTTATTTTAGGGTAAACAAGTACATTGGAATAGTTTGGTTCACGAATTTCAAGCAAAGAAATTAATCACTAGGTGAAACAATAATCAATAGGCTGCATCTGCGATTTGATATTACACAGTGCCGGTTCAATTTCCGAATGGTAATAGGCTGAACCATACATATAATGTCTGAATTCATTCTTGTCTTTGAAGAATAATCCTGAATGTTACGATGGTATCTGAGGAGTCAACAAAAACTTTCTCTGTGTTTTTTGTAGATGTAATCAGATTAGGTAGATTTTCCATCAATTACAATTTGAATTGGGGAGTACTCGAGGCAACGACACGCATCCGATTTGTATCAGATAAGAGTTGATGTTTCGTAATACAATATTCAAATCATCACCATGAATATTCTTTGAAAAAAACTTTGTAGGAAATAATCGTTAGTTAACCATCTAAAAAAATTGTGGAAGGTGGAATACCTAAAAATTAGCCAGAAATATCGCCATGAAATATCACTACTGTGGAGTAAAAAATTGTAATCTTATTATCTCATTTATTGGTCAAATGAGATAGTAATGAGAACATGTAACATGTACCGTTAATGGGTGTGATTTTGTCTGATATGGTAACCAATATCTCAAGAAGCATATTGAACATTCGCGGGTTAACCTCTGAGTTTGTTTACAAAAGGAATTTTCCTAGTGAATACAGTAACCAATAACAATAATAATCTAGAACTACTAGCGAAGAATCGTTAACTGACACACCGGCACCGCCTTATTATTATAATCAATAGGTACCTCTACGAGACATTCCTTCATAGAAATAGTAGTTTATGCACTCAGTAGTTATTTGTTGCAAACTATTCTCGATTCATCGAATTAATTGTCTGGGTTTTCCTACAGTTAGAATTACAAAATATCGCATAAAAGCAGACAGACAAGGTGAAATATATAAAAAAAAAGAGTTATTCGATGAATCTGCTAGAAAACTAATGGACAACTCTTGGTTCGTTGATATGGGTTTCATATTATACAAAGTAACTGTTAACTGCTGAAAATTTTTGATGAAATTTCTACGACCGAACATCCATGGGGAATTGTGGGTGAGAGAGGATAGTTTTTTTAAGGGCGTAACACAAACACTACAGGAAAATCTTTAAGGCCTTCTAAGAGCGGTGCCTGTGCGAAAATAGTGATTCACATTGGATTTGAATCGCTGGAGATCAAATCCATTTGGAAAAACGTTCTCAGGAAGATTCCATATAAACGCAGTTCTCCGGATGAAAGAGTTCTTAAACAGTGGAGTCCGAGGTGTACTGAGTTGAACCTCGAAACGATGACTAGTCACAGTCCGTCGCGTATTTCTGATATGTACCGCTCTTGGTGAAATCAAATGTGCCAAGTCACTTGGACACTTTCCGTGAAAGAAGAGAGACAAATCTCCAACCTTTCTTCGATGTTCGAGAATATCAAGGTTGCGAGTGATGTTCGCGTCTCCAATCAGGCGTATAGCTCTTTTTTGGATGGAATACAGTAGCTTCAGGTTATTTTGGGGGGTGGAGCTCCATACATGAGAACAATACTACAAAGAAGGTCTGATTAGAGCTTTATAAAGCATCGAAAGTTGCTGAGGTGTGTACAGTTTTCTGGTTTGGAACAGTGTTACAAGCTCGTGAGGAGCAGCCTCTGCAATTCCAGCGACATGATTGTGCCAAGACATAATGGTGTCCATTTTAACCCCTCAACATACATATCGAAGCAGAAAGCGGAATTGTATGACCTGCCAATTGGTTCGGAAACATTTATCTTTTTGGAGAAAACCGATGCCTGGGTTTTTGTGGCATTGAATTAAACCTGGTTACTTTCACTCCAATTCGAAATTACTTCTAGATTCTCATTAATATATTGAACCTCCTGCTGCCGTTGAAGATGTGGATCCGCAGCCGATGTTCTGGATTCCAAATGTAATGTCGAGACAAGTGTGCTGTCTTCAGCAAAGCAATACGTTGGATTCATGGTCGTTGATGGTAAAAGTATTCATCCAACTGAGGAGCCATACACAAAATTGATTCGACAAGTCATAGCATCGAAGTTTGGCCAGCAAACCCTCATTCCACAAACGCAACAGCTCTTGACTCTTCATGTATTTTGATTGCGTTATTCCAAATATGGCTGATCTTTGGTTCCGAAATCCATAGAAAGAGCCGAGAACGAGTACACGAGATGAAGAACAAATCTTCATGAGCAATAATTAACAGGCCCATTTTCATGAAAGATGAATGGAATTACTAAAAATTAGCTCTTATATAAGCTCTAGTAAAATCTCTTGAACTCACATGATGTAGCGTTTCATTGTGAAAACTGATCACAGCCATGGAGCTTGAACTTGAAAATTATGGAGTTTCACTAATAAAATAAATTGGTATTTCAATAGTGCCTGTTATCGTTTTGCTCAAGTTAACGACATATTATGGTGGGAAAGGGAAGTTTTGGCTTTCTACATCTACATCTCCATACAAAAAGTGGGAATCTTCTGAAGAAAGGAAGAGAAATGTTCAGTTCATGCAAAGCAGTAACAGTCAGACACAAACTAGAAGAAAAAGCCCTCTCGAAACAATTATTTACTTTCATACAAACATTGAACTACTCGAAAGAAAGAATACTTTCTACAGGCCCATTTTCATGAAAGATGAATGGAATTACTAAAAATTAGCTCTTATATAAGCTCTACTGAAATCTCTTGAACTCACATGATGTAGCGTTCCATTGTGAAAACTGATCACAGCCATGGAGCTTGAACTTGAAAATTATGGAGTATCACAAATAAAAAAAATTGGTATTTCAATAGTGCCTGTTATCGTTTTGTTCAAGTTAACGATATATTATGATGGGAAAGGGACGTTTTGGCTTTCTACATCTCCATCTCCATACAAAAAGTGGGAATATTCTGAAGAAAGGAAGAGGAATGTTCAGTTCATGTAAAGCAGTAACAGTCAGACACAAACTAGAAGAAAAAGCTCTCCCGAAACAACTATCTACTTTCATATAAACATTGAACTACACGAAAGAAAGAATACTTTCGAAACAACTAATTTCCCATGAACATTGGATTATACATAATACTTTTTTCTATTTAGTTTGTAATACAAACATTCGTCATGGAATTGAATAAGATATCATTCACAGGATTCCTACCCACATGAAACACCGTCATGTCGTATCAAAAAATCAAATTTTTGAATTCCCGATTTACCATACCTTATCCAACGCGGTAAATTGACGGAGTGGTATATAGTGCACCCGAGTCACGATCGAAAGGTCGTGAGTTCGAACTCCACCTCAACCTGATATCTTTCTCCAGAGAATTTATCTAGTTGAAGTTGGGATGGTTCTGCATCGTTACATGCCTGACGAACTGCGAATAGCCATGATGCTTCTTAGGTGCCGTTATACCAAAAAATATATCTCAAATCACATCTTACAATGTACATAAGTTTTTGTGACGCCGGAAAATTCTTCGAAAGAAAAATATTAATATCTGCTGGAGGTATGGTTAGTTGTTCGGTTGAGATTGAGAGTGAGAGCGTTTGAATTTCGAAGAGGCTCCCCAAGGCAGTCAGCTACAAAGTCGAATTGTCACATTGATACCGAATTTGATCCGTGCTTTGTATTTCACTGCAATGTCCATTGCAAAGCAACTAGTTTTTGGGCGCTGGTCTTGAATATTTTATATACCTTCGCGAGATTATCCAGTTGTGATTCATTTACAGGCATGTCTCGGAGATAAAATTTCCTGATAGCCCTACTCACTTCTCTGGATCGAGTAGTATTCCTTTCGTAGAGAAAGGCAATGGGTGCGATCTTTTCAAAATCGTTATTAATTTCTCGTGTCAGAGTAGCATTCTTCACAACAGCTGAAAAATACCAATAAATGAAATCTTTGAAAGTCTTCATTTAATACATTGAATGGTTCGTTACGAAAAGTTATATCTCACCATATGCACTAGCAAGTAATTCATCTTTTGTTTGACCGGTCATAAATGGAACTTTTTGAAGTTTTCCCTGTTTGATGAGAATAGCGGGATCATCTGTCAAAAATCTTGTTTGTCCAAAATCACCTTCAATAACAGGAGACCACCTAAGAATGGGATCCCATCCAAATTCCTGGAAAAAATACACACACTCCTACATTTTTTACCTAGATAGTTATAGATTTCTGAAGATATTAGGAGTGAATTCTCATTATTCAGTATACGAGTATATCGTATTGGAATTTTTATGTTGATTTCTATCAATTTACCAATATATTTTTTGAATTTATTGAGTATTTTTCTCAATATGTCGTTGGAGATATGACACTTGTCAGTGCTTTTTATCTCATTTGTTTAAAAATGACAGATACATAAGTATACTGTATAGTTGCGATCTAATAGTAGAAAAGCTTCAGTGAGGGGAAAATTCTTAACGATGACGATATATTTGAATCTTTTCGACATTCATTAAAAGTGCCTTCGAATACCTATCCAGGATATTCATGGAGCTATGCCATATACAGTGCATGTGAGGGTTGGTGTCACTCCAATAACGGCAATTTTGTCTATGAACATTGCCGTTCAAAAAATTGTATATTCGTCACTAAAACAAATATTGTGGAGATAGGTAGGATGCCTTGCAATGATTTCCGTCATAATTTCGCAGAATTCTGTTTTTCGATCAGGGTCATCTTCAGTTTATTGATACCCATTCCTCTTCAAAAGTCTCCACACAGTAGACTGAGACACCTCACAAACATTCGCGACCAATTATTTGCACTCGCTGTTCTTCCGGAATGGACGGATGAACTGGGCTTTTTGTTATGTACACTACTGGTAGTTGTGAATTTGGATACGAGTTCCCTCAAATATTTTCTACAGATAGGACGATTCGGAAAACGTTCATTGAAAATCCTTTCGGTCTCGTCAAAGTTACGCGTCGTACCTTAAATATAAATCGTTTAGATTTTTTACTCCAATGGACGAGATATCAATGGGTTTTTTCATCAGGAAATTATCAAATATTTGGCCATTTTGTAGTAGGTGAAGATATTGACTTCATATTCTAGGGATGTGAAGTATTTGTCAGGAGCTTCAAAATGATGTCTCACAAGACCATCCTTTCCATTAAATTTTTTTCCCAGATGGCGCCCAGTCGTCATCTTGAAAGTTCCATCCGTAAGTTCCACTTCAAAATGAAGTATTCATGTATACATTTCAATATCCCAAATTTCAGTTTTTTGAGTTGACCTGTTCCAAAAATAAAAGGGGGGAATTAAAGAAATGCACTGTAGAACTGGGTACTGGGTACCCTTACGGAGATCGTTAGAAGACTCCATCCACGAATATCAAAGATGTGCCAGCTACCTAAGATGGTCAGTAGCAAAGCCAAGCTTTGTCGTCGACCGTCAATGGAAATCGTCTTCCGTCTTTTACTGCAACTTTCATTGTGAGGCAGCTAGATTCCAACATCGGACAGCACTGTTTCCACCCGCCAAGGTCTCATCAGAGATGCTGAGCTGAATCACAGTGCATTGCTGGACTCGACTTGAAGGACAATCCTGAATAAGTAGAAGTGATGTCATCTATTCTTACGAAGACACCATCTGTGGGATGGACAGAAGATGCAATCCACGAATATCAAAGATAAACTAGGCTCGAAGTCTGATAGATGGAGTCTTCGTAAGAAGAGATGTCATAGCGCCTACTTAAGGAAAGTTGAGTCCAGTAAAGCAATTCGTGGTTCAACCTATGCGAGTGTATTTCAAGCGGAAATTTACGCTATTGAATTGTGTGCGGAGAAATTGGAAGAATGCAACCTCATACACAAGTCAATAAAAATATTCTCGGACAGTCAAGCGGCTTGGAAGCTTGACTGTCCTTCCATTGCCTTCCGGGCCAGTACGGCCTGGAAGGCAATGATGCTGCTGACTCCCTTGTGAAGCTCCCTTGTGCAGCTTCATCGGACCAGAGAACCTGACATTGGCATCGCTTTAGGTTTTGCCGAACAAAGATTGAACACCTGGATGGCAAGAAGATTTATGGACTTCTGGCACAATCTTCCAGGATTGGCTCACTCCAAGCCGTTTATTCATCCTTCGAAGCTTGATACCAAATAGTTGTTGGACTATAGTAGGGATGAACTACGATGTCTAACAGGCCTTCCTACAGGTCAATGTCATTTGAATCATCATATGCAGAGACTCAGACTGTCGTAAGACAGTGTGTGTCGCCTTTGTTTGGAAAATGATGAAACAGCAGAGCACATACTTTGTGCCTGCTCAGCTGGGTACCGAATCAGGTTTTTAGAGTTCGGCAGAGCCGTACTCTTACCATCTGACCTAAAAGACCACTCACCATACAAACTAATCGACTTCTTTAAGAAGCTGGGTTTATTTGGTGGAGTGTGAATAGGTGTGAGCTACAATGAACCCTTGCGGGTTGCGGTGGAGGGTCGAATAGACCCACTCACTTCGGATCTAACCTAACCTAACCTATTCGGACCAACTCCATTGATGAGACCTTGGCGGATCGATGCAGTATGGTGTTCACGAATGCTTAGTTTTTGGGGTTCGGTTTCAGATATGAAGAATTGCATTGAATTTCTATCGAAATTAAAAAAAAAATCTAATGGAAGTTCACTAACTCATTGTGTCGAAACATTTTCGCTAGTGTTCTTTGAAATTAATAAAAGACATTTGAAAATAATGACTCATAGGTTTTTCTCACCGTGAATCCAGATAGAGATTCGCCTAATTGTTCAGCAGGCACAGTTTTCAAACATTTAACTATATTTTCAGAAGTATCATCAGGACATCCAACAAGTTGAGCTTGTTTCTTAGCCAAATCAAGCTGATGTCTTGGAATGGGCCAAATCCCTAGGGGAGCTCCACTCATGGATATGACTTTATGGAATAATCCTACGGAATAAAATGAATTAACTTGCTTTGTACGATAATGTTGAGGCATTAGTCTAGTTAGATTTGTGAGTGATCAATCATCAATTTTTATCATGACTGATTGATGAAATTCAGAATATTTCATGACAGACTCGACTAATAGGTGATAGTTCAATGTAATTATTGTAATTATTAGCAATGACATCGAGATTTCGCCATCGGAAATGATAATAATAATATAATATGATATATTAATTGCAATATATTGAATTTTTGGCTCTTTTCTATACAGTGCTAGTCAAAAGTCCCCTCCCCCCCTCGTATCTTTTGAACGGGTATACTTCTAATAATGAAATTTGGAGGGTGGAAATAAACGGATGTAGGCTTCTTAACTGGTCATAACAGGTGACGCAATAGTCATAAATGACGTCACAAGGCCACTGTGACCAAAAATTTTAAATGGGACCCTATGGCAAGTGACAGCTCGTTTGAAAGGTATTGAAAATACCNAAGTATACCCGTTCCAAAGATACGAGGGGGGGAGGGGACTTTTGACTAGCACTGTATATGTTGATATTTTTGAATTATTGAGTCGATATGTATCTCAGCGGTAAAAATATTCCTGGAAGAGCTGGAATGTTATTTTATTTTTGAAGAAGCTTGTGAGCCTCAAAAAAAAACAGTAGTTATTAAACTCCTATGTCGAAGTATGGTCACTTTTTCCAATTTTATTTTTCCAAAAATGAGTGGTACATGAAGATACCTCAACTATAGATTTCCACTTGTAGAATCTATACCGTTAGTCGCTCAAGACGTTAATGAATTCCACATATTTTAGACATATGTTGATTTACAAGCTTTTCCATATTCATTAATATCACTGATAATAAAACAACTGTGCTACAGTTATTCAGACGATTTTTCTCATCATTATCAGCTCAAAATTAGTTGAACAGTCTACCAAACACATGCCGCATTTTTTAAGTACGATGATACGTATTTTGGAAAGACCACAAGATTCATTAAGCTGTTTCAGGATATTTCATTGGTAATTGGTTAGAATGTAATTTCAGGTGTCGTGAATCATAGCAGAAATAGTTGGTATTTCAATCTGCATTGTTGTTGCTATTGAACCATTCAGGTTGGTAGTTGAATATAGAAAGACCAGGAAGTTTTGATTTTCAAATATTTTCAACCTTTTGACCAATACTCTGTATCTACTGAATCTTTGATTGTGTTCGTCATAACTTAATGATCTGGAAAATGGAATATTATAGTATACGGGGTTCATTCTTGAACTTTTCGAACCTTATCTCTGCTATTGAAGACAATTTGTTCCGATTTGTGATAACTTTCCTACCACGAATCACCTTCAAGAGGAAGATCAAACTAAAAAACTGTTTTTTAGTTTGATCTTTCTAAAAAACTGTTTTTTAGTTTGATCTTTCTGAAAAACTGTTTTTTAGTTTGATCATTTGGTGATAGAAACACGTGTCAAGGTGTTAAAATTACGATTTGGCGTTGGGAAAAAACTCCAGAATATTCATTATGTTTACTGATCACATAACTTCAATGAGGAAAATGGTAGATCTGAACTCTGACATTGAAAGAACAACAGAAGAAATTAAAAAATAATTCAACTCAAACGATTTGAAGCTGAATGAAAATAAAACCCAACTCTTTACTATCTCCAGCAATCCTCTGATATGATTAGGAGGTAGTTATAAGCTTGTAAGGATCAAATATTGTAGCCCCCTCACTTGTTCATCACACACAGAAATCCTTAGTAAAAATTTCATTACAGTTATTTCTACTGTGAAAAGAAAGTATCTTGCGCAAACACTTCAAGTAGGTATAATATGCTTTCTCATACACTCGCATTTAACATACGTTATTATTCAATGGGGAAATTGTAGCTCAACTTTTATTCAAATATTCAGACTACAAATGCGGGCAGTACGTACGAATTATTGCTGAAGTAGGCCGAAGAGAATACTGCCAGTCTATATTTCTCAGATTTCATATCGTAACTCTTCTTCACATTTTTAATTTCTATTAGCTACTTCATATTCACAGCAGTGTGAACTAGGTATTCAAGAAAATGTGAAATACACAGATATAACATAAATCACACATAATCAATGAGACCGCCTAGGCATCCATTGAAAATAACAGAAAATAATTCACTAAATCTACTTAACTACAAAAAGGAGGTTTATACCTTTCCGTATGTAAGTCAAGAGTCAGACCTGCTGAGATGCAATGATATCAAAGACCCAGGAATTATACTTGTCTATGAACATTCGCAAGACATATTGTGGAAATTGCAGAAACTTTAATAATATTGAAGCTACGAAGCTGTTGTATTACACCTAGGTAAAGTATCGTGTGGACTCCATTCTATAAGATCTAAGATCTAAGCATTGAAATGGTTCAAAGAAAGTTTTCTGAATTCTCCATTTTCAGAATAGATGGTTATTACCCTGAGAGAGGTATTAGTGATATGAACAATTGTGAACAACTTCCATCGTACTTTGGAGGACATTACAAGCTACCCTTCTTGACGTAGACCTTGTCAAGATGATAAGGTCATCTGCATAAACTTGCAGATATACTTTTCTTCTGTCGAGAGCATCAAACAGACTATCTATCAGGAGCGACCACAGAAGAGGAGATGATACCCCACCTTGAGGGCAGCCTCCAGAGACCCTGAACCTAATGGCCTTTTCTTGAAGAGTCGTAGTTGCAGTTTTGTTTACCAGAATGGCATAGATCCAGCCAGTTATGGTCGATTCTATACCTTTCCTAGCCAGAGATGATCCTATAGATTTAGGTGGTGCATTGTCAAAGTCTCCTTCAATATCGAGAAATACAGCAACCGCAATCTTCTTGTTGTCAAGGTATTGGGAAATTTTCTCTACACGGTTGTTTAATGCTAATTCTGTCAATATGCAAACATGTACTTCATTCATTTTTCTTTTTTTTTAAATTTCAGCATTGTGAATATAATTTTGTATTGTCCTATGAATGGGTAACTGTTGGATAGTAAACCTATTATTATTATTAACTTCAGGTAAACATTATATGAATCAGTTGTGCGTTGTGTTTTTAATACAAATCCCGCTATACTTACATTACATTACAACATGCCAACTTCAGACAAATTGGCGAGTACCGTTCTGTAACTTCTCATAGCTCCGAACGTAAACATACGAATATTTTTAAAACCTACCTATGAAATATCACAATGAAAAAAGCCTAATTTTTGTTTGCACTAGTATTAAAACACACTAAAACAGAACCATTTCGATTTAGAAAACTGAACGTTTCTATTTCCATGGAACAACATGAGTGTTTAATGCATTCAACTTTAATAGCTTATGCTATTATTTGACTTGCTCTTATCCAAGTGATTGAACAAGTATCAAAAGACGCCTTTCAAAATATAGTTTTTACCTTGAGACATGGGAGAAACCATATGCAGAACATTACTCCAACCACCTGCACTATACCCCTCTAGGGTTACGCAATTCGGATCACCCCCGAAAGCTTCAATATTATTTTTGACCCATTTCAATAGCTCGACTTGGTCTTTCAAACCATTATTTCCAGGAGCAAGTTTGTCTCCAGTGCTAAGGAAACCTGAAAATTGATATATACGTTAATAGTCTAAAATTATTAAATTCAAAATCTAAGAGTGGTGTTTTGAAATTATTGATCAAATTGATAAAAAGCTGAGATCAAAATGAATTGGATCATTGAATTTGTGAAAGAAATATAACATTGTGAGCTCAAATAGAAATAATGAATTATTGATGAAAAATAATGTGAATGTTCAAATTTCGCGGGCTATGTTTATTCGATTAGCGAATTTTTTATTTTCTTTTTGTTTGGTACACTTGTCACGAACATATGAAACCGATGAAAAAAGCTGAGAAAGTGAAGAAAATTGTTACACTAGGATCATGCAATATTTTTTACAATGTTTCCGAAAATTTTGGGCATGAAGCGTGTGACAGCGAAGTTCTTTACAAAATTGCTCATTAATTGCCGAATAAAGTCAACGGCGATCCAGATTTGCTTAAAAGTGTCATAACTGCTGATGAATCATGTGTATGTGGTTATGACAGCGAAACCAAAGTCCAATCGTCCCGATGGACGAGCCCAAGAGAGCCAATACCAAAAAAGCAGGGCAACTTTGATCAAATGTTGAGATTTTGCTCACTATTTTCTTTGATTACCGTGACTTAGCGCATAAGGAGCTCTTGCCACATTATCTTAGTTCAATAAGGAGTATTGTATTGAAGTTATGCGCCGCTTGCGAGAAGCAATACGAAGAAGATGTCCGGTATTCATGACTTTTGCATCACTTTTGCACCTATCCACAGCAACAGTCATTGTTTGTTTGTAATTCTTTGACCAAAAAGAATACCGTTATCATTCCTGAACTAGGGTTAGGTGAGGGTAGGTCCAGAGTGAGTGTGTCTATTCGACCCTCCACCGAAACCGGCAAGGGTTTATTGTGGTTCACACCTATTCACACTCGACCAAACAAACCCAACTTCTTAACGAAGCCGAATAGCTTGTATGGTGAGTGGCTCTGCGGAACTCTAAAAACTTGATTTGGTCCCCAGCGGGGCAGGCACAAAATATGCGCTCTACTGTTTCATAATTCTCCAACCAGAGGCGACACAAACTGTCCTCTGATAGTCCGAGTCTCTGCATATGACGATTCAAATGAGAGTGACCTGGAAGAAGGCCTGTTAGACATCGTAGTTCATCCCTACTGTATAATCCGGTTAATCTAGACATTGGAAAGTACATAAATTTACAATAAGCTGCAAACGCGTGTGATTGTTCAAAACATAGTTGAAAATGAGGTTTCTAAATTCCGATTGATAGCGATGCCTGGATAAAAATTTATTCGAGGTAAAAGGTCAAAAATCTAGAAAAAAAGTGTTTTTTCGCGATTTTCAGGAAAACGTTGAGTTTTATCATAAAATAACCTCATATAAAAATTGTAGATCATGAAATTCTCTACAAAAAATNTGTTCACTCTTTGTTTGCGATGCCAATGCCAGGTTCTGGTCCGATGGAGCTGCTTGTAGCACCCTCCTTTGCAAGGGAGTCAGCAGCCTCATTGCCTTCCAGACTAGTATGGCCAGGAATCCAGACCAGAGACAATCTATTAAGTCTTCCTATTGAGGGGAGTAGTTTTTGGCAATTCGCTACCAATTTAGACGTTGCTCAGTAGGAGCCAAGAGCTTCCAACGCCGCTTGACTGTTCGGGAAGTGAAGCGGCGTTGCCTGAACTAACGTATTCATCAGATTTGACTCCCCGGGACTTTTTCCCATGATTGAAGACACCTATGAAAAGACAGTGTTTCGCCACAATGTAGAAGACAACAGCCGAATCGCTAAGAGAGCTCAAAGACATTCCAAAAAGTGCATATCAGAACATTAACGGATAAATGAATATTCTTTGGGGAAAATGAAAATTCATCTTATTTTTTTTAATAGAGTAGTATAACTAAAGCTAAATTATGTATTTCTATCATGTATATATTAATATGGACAAATCTGGTTACCAATGATTGACAAGGTTTTCATAAAATGTAGAATTAGTAAAAGAGAACATCAAAACTTTCACAGGAACTGAATTTTCATGTAGGTGTCGAACCAATGAAGTTTCAGACTGAAAATAATGTCTAAGGTAAGAATGAAGAGGGGAAATTCAACAAACTCAGTGAAACGAATAATTCACAGGCACTAGCTAATAGCTCAAAATAGGATCATGAACAAAATTATCAACCGAGGTGAATTGTTGATCTAATCGAATTCAACTCATGGATATTCAAAAAATCTTTATCTGGAAATGTGATTGGTAAAAGACAATTTCTTCAGCTATTGGAAATTGTAAAGGGTATATCTTTCAATTAGTTCAGATGTTGAGTTTATTCACCAAAGTGTCTGAAGCATTTTGAGACTCATATGAACTGAAGAAACTATATAATGATATTTTCTGATTGATTCGGCCGTTACTTGATGAAGATCCATAGAAATTTTAAAAACTACACCTCACGATTTGATCTCCACAAACTCAAATCGTGAGGTGTAAGGCAATTGATCACAGGACGTGAGCGAACAATCAAAACTAAATACGTTGACAAATTATTATTCGAGAAAACGTACATTGAAACTAACTATAGAAGAGTCAAATAACACGAAATACTCTCTATATGATCTTCAATCCAGATTATTTAAAGTTATTCTTATATTATTTGAACTCTAGAAAATCAACGATTGAATCATCATTATGAAAAGAAAAGTTTAAGTATCCGTTTTTGACGTGATGATGAAAATATTAATAGACCATTTTGATTTCGATGTTTATCCTAGGAAAACACAACAATATATATCTCTATGATTCTGTATTATAACCAATCCAGCTTTTACAAGATATGGCTGAAGCAATATATAACTCTCATCGGAATATAGAAGCAAAAATACCAATTACTGAATTTGTTTAAAAAAATATTATCCAGAACAGCAACTGCTGCTCTGTGTATTTCTTCATTTTTATCTCCATGAATAATTTACCATTATGTATGAGTTGAATAACGTTATCAACGTGACCAAAAAGATAAGCTACACCTAATTAAAATCCCAACATTTATAATCAGAAAGAAAAAATATATCAACGTTAACAAAAACAATAAATTTAATGAATAAAAACAGTAGACGATACAATTCAACCAATATTTTTCGCGTATTTTGAAAGATTTTGTGGCGAGTTTCATTCACTTCATTTTCAGTAACTTTTTAAATAATATTATTTGTTTGATATTCATTGATTTAGACTGGAAGTAAACGTCATTTGAGTACGTACGATTTCTTTGAAGCATTATTTTAATTATACATTTGTATCATTTTCTACTAATTTAAGTTGGTTATTAGTCACACCTCCCATGCGACGATTTTATATATGAGATATGATCGCACGAGGGCATTATATATCATCTTCAGGTGAGGAATATACAATATATTTCTCAGGAATTTAAGTTTTGTGATGAGCCCGGGAAGTTTTCTCACTAGATGTATCATATGGGAATCCCANTTATTAGCCTGTTTAACCAATATATTTTCGCCAATAAACTTATCCTTCAACATTGAAATGAACCGAGATTTGTTGTGAGTATTTGCAAGAAATTTCTGTTGACTGGTAGGAACTGTCATAAGTTCATCAAATAGAATTTCGGAAGATGAAGATGTTGCTAAAGTTCGACGACGTTGTTCTGCAGCTTTAATATTTCTCGTGCAATCATCATAGCCATTGAATACGACCGTAATTCTGGCACCAAAATGTCTACGTACATACTGAACGTATTTATTCAAAATAACAACTTCAGAGATGTATATACAAGGAATACTTATGCATATAACGACGATTACAACTTTTACAACTTTTTGACTCGTCGTATCTCAGAAACGGTGGCTCTAAGAAAAAAAAGTATCGATACAATTTTTGTAGAACATTTTATGATCTACAATTTTTATTCGAAGTTATTTTATGATTAAACTCACCGTTTTCCTGAAAATCGCGAAAAACCAATTTTTTTCGAGATTTTTGACCTTTGACCTCGAATAAATTTTTTTCCACGCAGCGCAATCATTCGGAATTTTAAAATCTCATTTTTAACTATGTTTTGAACAATTACATGCATTTGCAGCTTGATGTAAATTTATGTACTTCCACTCTTATTTTCCAGTCTAATTTGACCGGGCTAGTAGTCCAACAACTGTTTAGTATCAAGCTTCGAAGGGTGAATAAACGCATTGGAGTGAATCAATCCTGGAAGATTCTGCCAGAAGTCCACAAATCTTCTTGCCATCCAGGTGTTCACTCTTTGTTTGCGATGCCAATGCCAGGTTCTGGTCCGATGGAGCTGCTTGTAGCACCCTCCTTTGCAAGGGAGTCAGCAACCTCATTGCCTTCCAGACTAGTATGGCCAGGAATCCAGACCAGAGACAATCTATTAAGTCTTCCTATTGAGGGGAGTAGTTTTTGGCAATTCGCTTCATCTTCAGATGAGAAATATAGAATATATTTCTCAGGAATTTGAGTTTTGTGATGAGCCCGGGAAGTTTTCTCACTAGATGTATCATATGGGAATCCCATTTAAGCTATCTATTTGAAAATACCCCAAGATACTTCACTTTTTCAGCAGATTCTGTTATATGAATTGTTTCACTACAAAATACTATCAGTTGCTTGTACGATAGAAGTTAACTGGTGTAACTAGTAAATGTTTTATATTTGGTTTTTTGAAATTCATAGTGAGATATTTATAGTTTGAATATTTCATTATCACGGAAAAATCATTTTCTACAGTATATTCAACATATTTTTCCATATGAAGCATAAATAGTATGGGACCCAAGACAGTTCCGTACGATACACTGAATTCAATTTCTCTGAGGAAACTCATCTCGTTACTGAGATATACTTTAATATTTGTCAGCGAGGTAATTTGAGGCGTACAGAATTCTTTAAGTTAACTTGCACAAGGACAAATGTTGCTCAAAATTCACCACTTTATAGAATGCTTAAAACCTTTAACAAAATTTGCAATGATATTCAATATTTTGAAATCTCTTAAGACTGTTTCAAACGCAGGATGAAAAAAAATTTCATTGATAAGTTGTGATCATTTCTGTAGTCTCTGTTACTCTTATAAGAATTATGCAGTACGTCCTGCAGCTGGGGTTGATAGGATATCGCTGCCTCGTGAGGTGTCACGCATGAAAGTAAAAGAAATATATCTTGAGGTGTATGTATCCGTACCAGAAGTGTATGACTCTGAGCCCACTCAATATCTCTAACGGTACTCCTTTTTCTAGCTGGTCATGTGATCCTTCACGGATCATGAAGTACCTGAAGAATCTAACCCTAATTCTATAGAGGAGATCGACGTATACTGAACGAACTTATCTGTTCTCCCAGTGACATGGGTGGTGCAGTCAGGAAAAAACTTATAGCCTCCCTAATCTACTTTGTACCAAATTCTTGAACATAAGCGGAATTTGCATCAAGTGAGAAAACAAACAACTTCTGGGCAGGTCAGCAATCGCTGACGTACATACGATACCTGAACCAGAGGCGAAAAAGCCCTGCATCACTGAATTTATGAATCATCTTGTATAGCTAATTCGGCCATGGGAAAGTTACTACGATCATTGAGGTAGAAATGGTGCACCTTTAATATCTGACAACCTCAATATCGATCTATTGAATGAAATCTGTTCAGTATGCTATTATTGCTATGGTAGAGAATATCCTCGAAAATAGTCCAGAGGTACGATTCCTGGGCTGCACATCTTGGCCTGGATACCTACAG